AATATTAAAATATTGAAGAACTTGTTTGATTATATTCGTTTTTTCATCTCTCGATGTTGATTTTTGGTATTTATCAGATTGTTCCCTGATAAATATTTTATTTTCGTCTGTAAAGTTTGCTCTTTTTTGATTAAATATAGATGATTTTCCCATTAAAAAATGAAATGATGCAAAATTTACGAAAACCGTTCGAAAATTGAATCAAAAATGAAAAGTAATACTTAAATGAGGAATTCTTTGAGATATTGGTCTTAGATTGAATGTAGCGTCATTCTTATATAGAATATATATTCATATCATCGGAAATATGATAAAAAGCATATAATAAATGTCAAAAAAGTGAACAAATAAGCAAAGATATTTTTTAAAAAACAATGAAAAGTAATACTTAAATGAGGAATTCTTTGAGATATTGGTCTTAGATTGAATGTAGCGTCACAAATTTCACAAATATAATTTACTATACAATTTTATTCATTTTTTTAAAATGGCTGACGACAGTCTGTATCAACTAACTCAACTAGTCAAGCATAATGATTATTCTTCGGATTCATTAAATCAACTTTATCAATGCATAAGTACAATGACAGAAAGATCAATTGGATGCTTGAATTGGGATAAATTTTTCAAAAAAATCACAGTGACTGATGAAGTTCTTTTACATTTTTTAGCATCCGTTTTAAACATTGAAAAGATATCAGAATGTTTCAAGGATTCTATTTTTTATCACAATATTAATCTTGAAAAATTCAGTAATTTAACTGAAACAGAACAACAAACAATTTTAAATTCCTACAAAGCGGATAAATTTACATATTACATAATGTGCTCACAAATTGTAAAATCAAACTGGAACAATTTATCCCAAACTTTAGTTAATATTGCAAATCAATATTTGCCATTTTTAGATGAAGAAAAGCAAATATATATATTTACTGAAATAACTGGCAATTATCAAAATTTTGAAATTTCAGTTGCAAACTTGTTACTTTTTTATGAAAACAATGAAGAAAAATTAAGCAACTGTTTTAATTTAACATTGTTCCAGCAAATTTATTCCAAAAATGGAATCGAGCAAATGATATTTTTTGCTGCAAATACAATTTGTTGCAATAACACTTCTATCAATTTTTACAATCTCCTTGAAATTGAAGAAATGAATCCATTTGATTTTTTTTATTTCTCAATTCAATATAAAGAGATATTAAATTGCGATGATTTTCCAAAAGTTACAGAAGTAATCACAGGTTTAATCTCAGCTTCAAATATTAATGCTATTATGCGAATTTGCCAAAAAATTTTGGATAAAATTACATTTTATAAATGTAATTATTGCCATATTACCTCAATATGGAATTTTATCACAAATGCAGCAATAATTCTTCCTGATGAAGATTTATTAATCAAATTATTAAAATTCATAGAAAAAACAGAAAAAGCAACAGATGAATTATTCGAACCGGAGAATGATTTGGGTTTCTATGAATATTTAAATTCGATTTTCTCAGATATTACATCTGCGAGAAATAAGCAATTTCTCTTGGAATTTCTAAATACCCATGAAGATGACTTCACTTATGATCAAACATTGTGAGGTCATTTTTGATCAACAAATTAATTGAAATTCCGATCAAAAAAAATTCACAAATTGGATCAAAAAAATCGAATCTCAAGTTAAAAATAAAAAATTTCTACATTTTTATCAAATTTAGATTTTTTTTTCAAATCATGCGAATTGATTGAATAATTGCATATTTTATCCCATGCATCTAGAAGTATGTGTAATATTTTTGCTTTCATCAAGAAATTGTCGAATTTGATCTTAATTTTTTTTTGAAAAATATACTTTTAGAAAAAGAAATAGTGATTGAATAGCTGCCCATGCTGTAAAAGGGTTATTTTTACAAGTAAAAAAATTGTTATTTTTCGAGCAAGTCGAGGCTTTTTTACCATCTTATTTTTGAAAAATTTACGAAAAATTATATCTGAAAAAACGCTTCATTTTGATATCTTACAATGATAAAATACCAATGTTGCTGGGATATAATAGCTACACCTGGACATCTACTACATTAATGCATATGACAGGTAAAGTTGATTTCAAAAGTATAGCCTGGAAAGATTACAATAAATCAACGATAATTCAAAAAAATTTCTTATAAGTTAACATAATAAAAATTTAATTTTTATATTGCTTGTATTATACTTAAGTATATAATATATTTAAATCTTAGAATGAAAATTCGGGACGCCCTAGCTATTCAATTTTCCCTTAGGACGCCCATAAACCTCTCAAAAATGTGATGTAAATATCACAATTTTGAGAAATTTACACTAGGATGCCTTAGGACGCCAACCCCCTTTTTTACCAAAGAATTTATAACAAAAATAATGCTATGTTTATATGATGAACCAAAACGTTGCCTTAAAAAAACAAAAAAAAGTATGCTACAATAATATTCAAAATATTAAGAATCATTTAATTCAACGGGAACCTCCAGATGATTTATTAAATTTAATGAAAATAAATAGCATTGAAGAACAAAATTTTGTACAACATTCAAATTGTCTATTGCGACCAGTTATCCATAATACATGTATTGACGAGAGAAATTATCAAGAATAAAAGATATAGTTAAAAAGAAACGGAGTTATTAAAGGTTCATTTTAATAAACATTTTTAGTTATATCAGAGTCTGCATTATTTAGCATTCTGTGCTAGAAAATATCCGCCAGAATTAATCCTAATCCAATAATCCTTAAATTCAGCAAATCCAAAATATAAATCTAAATAATGCATTGATTTAAATATATATATCATTAATTATATTATAATTCGATTAAACAAAGTATACAGGATTTCTAATGTTATATGGAATCTATGAAAGTTTAGTATGTTGGAGTTGCAGGTATCAGATGCAGCTATTTGAGTGAAATGCAGATGTTTGGGTCAGATGAAGGTGCTTGAATGAAATGAAATTGCTTGAGTCAGATGAAACTGTTTGGTTAAAATAAAGCTGTTTGAGTGAAAGTGAGGTGATTGAATGAAATGTAGCAGGTTGAGTGATCTGCAGCAGGTTGAGTGAGCTGCGTTCATCAAGAGCTTTTGGTTCAACTTTTACAATGCAAGGAATTCATTATTGTACTGATCACGAAGGCTTATTTTTTATCAAAATATTTGCAGATGAACGGTTATAATTTTAAAAATATGGATTCCATGGTTTGAGCGCAAAAGAAATTGTTGCGTACGGAAATGTTACCCAAAAAGTCACAAAAACTGACACAAACATTATTTTTTGGCGCGAAAATTTGAATGCTTAAGTTTTAAAAATGAAAAATGATTAAAAAATTTATTTATATATTTATCATATAATATGTGAAAAATATAATTTCTTTTCAAAATTCAGTATTCAAAGACGGAATTTTTTTGGCGCCATAGGAAGGTGTGAGATACTATTACGTACAATAGTACTAATACCTACAATTCCTACCCAACATGGCTAAAAATTTGGTTCAATTGTTGACATTGCACCCAATTTTTAGCAATTTTGGCTGAGAACTATGGTCTGTGAGGTACATAGATAGAATCAGTATTTACCACTTTTCAATTTTTATAAAAAATTAAAAATAATCGTTATATTTCAAAAATTGAGAAAAGAAATACTTTTTTGATAAATAAAAAACTAAAATGGTTTATTATATAATTCACCATCAGATTTTTCAATTAAAATAAAAAATTTCCGCGTAAATTGTCACTTTTTCAAGTACCATTTCCGTACGTGATAGTAGATTTTTTTCGTAAATTTATGTCATATTAATACATACAAAAGTCTCTTGGCTTTTGATTTTAAATGAGGATATCAAAACATTTTGGCAGTTGTACTCAAAAACAAAAGTCAAGAGCCTTTTGTATGTAATATTTTATAAATTTTCGATTTTCCTTGCTTGAAACTTATCAAGAGATTTATTTTACATGTTGTTATATTCAAAAATTCGTCAAAAGTGACACTATTCAATTTTTTGACATTTGTAAATCTACTTTTGAGTTAAGGATTTTAAAAATTATTCATTGGAATATATTAGTATGATTTATGAAATTAAAAATGTATAATTAACTTTTGAAAGAACTTTTCAGAGTCTTCTTCAAATGTTCTTTTTCAAAAAATATATCAGTTAAAGTGACCATAAAAATTATTGTTTATTCATATTTTCTAATTTTTAATTTTTTTTAGATTGTAAGCGTGACAAAAGACATGAGAATTTTGGGATCTAAATATGATCGTTTAGATCGTGGTACATTGCACAATAATAGGAAACACGAATTTTTAAATTTGAATGACTTTTAAAAAAAAAATAAATAAAATGTAATAATCAGGACTAAATTTTATAAAGCATTCCAGAAATATTGTTATCGTGCATGTATATTCGTGTTGATATTACTTGACTGATTCGATAGCTTATGAACGTTTTATTGAAAAAATGTTATAAAAAGAAGATATCCCAATTCCAATTATACAATAATAATATATTATATGAAAGTATTATTTACTTTATAACAAATTTGATTTTTAGCATACTCGAAATCAAATTTTATCATAAATACAAAACATAAAAATAACTAATATATTTTAATATATCTTTATATATAATTCATAATTCACATATTTTTACATCTGCATAAATTTTTGAACTTTGGTCATTTAATGTCAATTTCTTCCTCACTAACTCGCGAGTGGCTTGACTCTGCCCGCACACGAATTGAAAAAGGGGAGACATATGAAGATGTATGTCGCGAAAATGACTTAAAAACTGGCTTAAAAGCCTATAATATTTCATGAAATACGCTCAGAGCTGCATTTCGATTAAATTCAATAGAATATCCAAATGTTACACGTGGACGTAAGCCAAACCCGGCTACAGAGCAACAAAAGCAAATAATTGATAATATGCTTACTGAATATAAAGCAGGAATCACGAAAACTTTTAAAAAAGTTAAAAGAATGAAAGCTTTAGAAAAAATTGCAATGGAAAAACACCTCTTACCAGAGCAGAATGAAGAAAATGAAGAAACCTTCGATATTGAAATTTATAAACAACTACAGAGTATTAGATATCATCATATTGCCACATATATGAACGAAAATGGATACTCTACTCCAAGAGAATATCAAGTCGCCGATCCTCCAACAAAGTATCGAGCAATTTCTAAAAATTTAATTTGGCATTGTGATATCCATTATTTGTATGGTAATATCCAATATCCATTCTTCGTATTTCTTGATGATATGACAAGAAAAATTTTAATTACAAAAATTCTAAAAAATAAAAGTTCAGCTTCAACAGCGAAAGTTTTAAGGAAAATACTTCGCGAAATCACTCCATATTGTATATGGAGTGATAACGGAGGCGAGAACCAGGGCGAGTTTGCCCAAGTAATGCGGGAAAACAGCATCGTATGGAAACATACGATGCCGTATATGCCGCGCCAGAACGTCAAAGTCGAAAGACTTTGGCCAAGTCTGGAAAAGAACTTGCCTCTGAATTTCGAAGATATTGCCGAGGTAAAGAGAGCAATTGAAAAATTCGTAGAAAATTATAACAACACACCTCATTGCTCACTCGAAATAAACCCAGATACAAGCACAGAGTACACGCCAAACGAACTTTACTCAAAAGCTCCTTTCTGGTACGAACCAGGAAAAAGAAAATGGGAACTTTTTATTAAAGATCAATGGATTGAAAAAGAATTCGAATAAACATACATTATTATACTATTTTATCGATTTTTCAGATGTTAATATTTATGATAAAATTTGATTTCGAGTATGCTAAAAATCAAATTTGTTATAAAGTAAATAATACTTTCATATAATATATTATTATTGTATAATTGGAATTGGGATATCTTCTTTTTATAACATTTTTTCAATAAAACGTTCATAAGCTATCGAATCAGTCAAGTAATATCAACACGAATATACATGCACGATAACAATATTTCTGGAATGCTTTATAAAATTTAGTCCTGATTATTACATTTTATTTATTTTTTTTTTAAAAGTCATTCAAATTTAAAAATTCGTGTTTCCTATTATTGTGCAATGTACCACGATCTAAACGATCATATTTAGATCCCAAAATTCTCATGTCTTTTGTCACGCTTACAATCTAAAAAAAATTAAAAATTAGAAAATATGAATAAACAATAATTTTTATGGTCACTTTAACTGATATATTTTTGAATAGTTTTTTGAGTATATTTTCAAAATTTAAATTTTGCTTTAAAATGATTGGGTTATATTAACAAATAATATTATATTTAATCTAAAAACCATCCATCACAAAAGTTAAAAATTTCAATATTTTCACTTTTCTGAGGTGTCACTTTTGACGAATTTTTGAATATAACAATGTTAATCTTCCAATTTATTTGAATGCAAAGTCATGCACTTTTTTCATGCAATATGGAAGGATATTAACAATCTAGAAATTCACATTTTGTATTGTGAAATTGCATTTTATTGGGTTTCAAGAGATCCTGAAATTTTCCATATGTATTATAATGCATTTAAAGTTTATTATGAAGATCAAGAGGAAAATACCCAAATTGCAATTCAATTTTGTGGACCGAACTCAATTTTCATTCAAGATCAAGATGAAAGTTTTGCAGAAATACTATCCTATTTAATCGATATATGGCTAGAATCTGAACCGAAATTATTTTATTAATTTGTAAAAAGGTGACCAAACTATTTTTTGAAAGTCCGCCATAACTTTAATGGTACTATTTCAGCGTGTACAATGAATACAAAAATTCTAAGAGTGCCACATAAAATAGTACTTTAGACTTGAGTTAATGCTACCAAGCAAATGTTAAAAAGATGACTTTAGTGTTTTGATAATCAAAGATTAAAATCATTATTGTCTAAATCAATAATCATAACGACAGAAGTTAATGTTTTTTCATAAGTGCTTTAAATCCACTTTTAAAAGTATACCTCAAAAATCAAAATATCAAAAAAAAATTGGCCGATAGGTTTGGCTTTAATTTTTGTCTGCTTTTATGATTTGATATGGATGTTATAATTTTAAAAGTTGAGCCAAATTCACCAATAGATTTTTGAGATTTGCAAATACTCAATAATTTTCAGCGTGTTATCTTTTATTAAAAGAACTATTTGGTTTCAGTATCATATAAATTGATATTTACTTTCTATTTGAACCTTCATTTAGCTAATGATTTAATAATACAGATTTCATCTAGTCCTTATAAGAGAATTTTGAATTTGTTATAATAAAAAAACAAACAGATATAGCTTACACTTCTATAATAAAGATACCTTTTATAGAAATCAGTATGAAATGTGTTTTGGCTTATTGGAAGCATATCAGACATAATCGCCATAATCAAAAAATCTATATACCCAATAAGTAATAAATTTGTCGATATAGATTTTCCATAAAATTAGTTTTTAGTCTGATCTTAAAATAAATTTAATTTTTTATAAAAAAAATCACATTTAAAAGTACCTTTTTAGTAGCTCGAAATCCTGTTGGTGGATTTCGGGCGTACTTCAAAATTAGCTTTTCTTCTACATATGCAAGCTATATTTTAAATATGGAGCAAATCGGATCGGCGAAAGGAGTTTAGTTACCTTTATTTGTAATTGAAAATTGAAAGAGTGATTATTATTTTCGATTATCATTTTCGTCAGACAAAAATGACAATCATTCAACTATAAAAATTAATATATGATATCATAAAGATCAAATAAAATAACAATGTGCTGTTTATGAATATGATTAAGTTGGACAGGGCAAACCCAAATTTTAGCTAAAAGTGACAGGGGAAAAAAACGTTTAGTATTAAAAAAAAGACCGATGAGAGCTTCGTTCGAAATATAGAGGGAACTGAGAATGCGCAACCATTCTCAGGGAATATTGGATGCTATTCCCGTTCCCTCTGTATGGAAAATTGAGGTTTTCAAAGGGAGTTAAAATAATATCAAATTTATACTAATTTACTTCAAAATACAAAAGTATTTGACAGCTAAAATTAGTTACTTTAGCAAGCCTATCAATACCCTTTTACGATTATTGCTACTTTTTCGAAATAAAAGTAAAAACAAATTTATACTAATTTACTTCAAAATACAAAAGTATTTGACAGCTAAAATTAGTTACTTTAGCAAGCCTATCAATACCCTTTTACGATTATTGCTACTTTTTCGAAATAAAAGTAAAAACAAATTTATACTAATTTACTTCAAAATACAAAAGTATTTGACAGCTAAAATTAGTTACTTTAGCAAGCCTATCAATACCCTTTTACGATTATTGTTACTTTTTCGAAATAAAAGTAAAAACAAATTTATACTAATTTACTTCAAAATACAAAAGTATTTGACAGCTAAAATTAGTTACTTTAGCAAGCCTATCAATACCCTTTTACGATTATTGCTACTTTTTCGAAATAAAAGTAAAAACAAATTTATACTAATTTACTTCAAAATACAAAAGTATTTGACAGCTAAAATTAGTTACTTTAGCAAGCCTATCAATACCTTTTACGATTATTGTTACTTTTTCGAAATAAAAGTAAAAACAAATTTATACTAATTTACTTCAAAATACAAAAGTATTTGACAGCTAAAATTAGTTACTTTAGCAAGCCTATCAATACCCTTTTACGATTATTGTTACTTTTTCGAAATAAAAGTAAAAAACAAATTTATACTAATTTACTTCAAAATACAAAAGTATTTGACAGCTAAAATTAGTTACTTTAGCAAGCCTATCAATACCCTTTTACGATTATTGTTACTTTTTCGAAATAAAAGTAAAAACAAATTTATACTAATTTACTTCAAAATACAAAAAGTATTTGACAGCTAAAATTAGTTACTTTAGCAAGCCTATCAATACCCTTTTACGATTATTGTTACTTTTTCGAAATAAAATAAATTTATTATCAAAAACCTTTTTCTTAGTAAAAATAAACGAAATTTTTTACCTTATGAATTTTTGATGGAAATATGCAAATTTAAAATAATAAAGAAAGCCGCGAGCGAAGCGATCGGCTTAGTTCGAAGATTTTGATTCAAATCTTTGCTGATCTGTAATTCGCGGAAGCCGCGAGCGAATCGAGCGGCTTAGGTCTAAGATTTTGATTCAAATCTTTGCTTATATTCCTTAAATTCTTTATGAAACTCGCAACAGTTCCATAAAAAATTTTAAATTCTAAACTGTCGAAATTACCGATCGGTAATCACACCCTTCATGGGTGTGTCACTTTTTACAGGCGTGTCACTTTTAGCTAAAATTACCCCTACTCAGTTGGACAGTGAGGAATGAGATATTTTATGAAATGCATTTCTAAATTTGGTGATTCCAAATCTATCTAAAAATGCTCTTTTGATATTATTTACATTGTAAACATCATAAACTAATGTTTCTCATTCTGGCTACACGGTTGTTAGCTCTAAAAGAAGATTAAATGGTGGAAATGAACTGGCATTGTGACCTTGATATTTATTGAAATACACACGAGAAATATATTAAATATAAAATACATAACTCTTCCCATATAGAATTGATGCTTAAAATTGTTCTTTCTTTGAGATAAAGAAGGTGTTTGTTGTTAATTTCAAACTTCAAAAAATTTTATTAGATAGTATCATCAAGAAATATAATTTTAAGAGTAGTATATATACAGGATCCAAGATTGCGAAAAATATTGACCTCTAGTTATATAATTTATTCTTCGCATAAACGTTTATAACAGCTGAAAAACCAGAAATTATAAGTTCTGTTGATAAATTTGATTTAATATTAGTTGATAAACCATGTAAATATTGAACTGCTAAGAAAATTGAGCTTTGAATATGTCGGCATTGTGTTAGCCATTGATTAAAATCTGAATCTTTTTTTTCAACTAATTTCGATTTTACTGCATCATCTAAGAAAATTAATGTATGACAAAACTTTTTAGAAAAATCATCTGGAAGATCTTATGTCAATTATTTCCAGCCAAATCTGGAGTACCATGAATTATCAAACATCAAAGTTATATGAAAGCCAGTCAACAATATCTTTAACCTTGAAAAATGTGTGTGCGTAAGAATATTCCTTAATTAAGCTGATTGTTCTTGGAAGCAATTTGGATTTCCTTCCAACTTTCTTCACATCAATAATCTGGCCACTAGCTTTATATAATTTGTAAACATTTGTTTCTCTAGTTGATCCAACTCTGAGTAATGTTTTAACAATTCTTACAGGAACTTGATTATTTCGCAGAAATACAATTTTATGAACAATTCTCATTGCTTCAGCCATTCTATACCAAGCTGGAGGCTGAGGACACATCACAAATAAAGGGTCACTTCACCTCTAAGAATTGACGATTATTTTATTAAAAATCAGTTAATATTGTATTTATAATTAAGGGTGCACCCGTATGTACGTTTATTTGAGAGGAGGAGGATTACCCTCTCAATTTTGAGGGATTCGTTAGTTTATTTTCTCGATGAATATGCAATAAAATTTGATTTTTACCTTATCAATATACTTCATATAATATACACATGTTCATGTAAAAACTTTTTTCCAAAATCCTCAGGAATTAAGGGATTTTTGAATTTTAAGAATTTTTTTCGAATTTTTTCGAAAAAAAATATTTTCAGAACAGCCTTAACGGCTAAGATTTAGGAACAATGTTAAGTATCAAAAAGAAAGGAGGTCTGATATAGACAACATATATCGTTGAAGGTTGAAAAATCTCTAATATTTGAGCCCAAAATTTCAAATTTTAATTTTTTGAAAAAAGAGGCCACCCGTATGTACGTTTATTTGAGAGGAGGAGGATTATATTTTTGAAAGGGTGAAACATTATGAATATGTTAATTATATAATAATATGTATTATTATAAAAAAGAAAAAATAAAGCACTTTAATTTTTTTCTTTCTTGATTTTTTACAAAATCTACTTAGAATTATGCAAAATATGACTAAATAATTATAAATTTCAAGTTAAATTTTAATTTTGATAAATAATTTAAATTTCAAAATATCAAGTTCAGTTCGACTATGTATGTAGTAATTCCTCAATAAAGTGCCAAAACCCTATTAAAATATATGAACATTTTCAACATTTTAATGTTTTTATTTAAAAATTTGTTGGAATATGAGCTTCAAACAATTATTATGTAAATAAAAATAATTAAATATATGTATTTATTCGTATTACAACCGTAGTAAGTCGATTCTTCCTTTCTTCTACTGAGTTTTGAATTTGATTTCGAATTGTAAAGAGATTCAAAGGGAAAATACTAGCGGATAAAAACTACCTCCATGAAAGGGTCATAATGGACTCAAGTTGTATTTTTTGATATTTTTTGCTTTTCGAGCCTAAATAGGTAGCCAAGATAATGCCTAAAAATAAGGTTCTAAATTCTGAAGTTTACATGATCCTCTTGTGTGCACCCTTAATTTTGATTTTTTATGCTGTCATTTTTTTATTTTTAATTTTAAACGGCAATGCCTTGTAATCAAGACATATGCCAGAGTTCAAGCAAAAAACATATATCCTAACGACAGCTGTTCCAATAGGAAAGTCAGAACGAGAAAGCAAATTGGAAAATAAATGTAAGAAATTCAATTATCCGCTTATTTAGGCAAGCAATATCCTTTTATAGTGATGATTCAGCATTACAAACTACTAATTTGGCCAATTACCCTATTAATTTGATAAATTTTTTTTATTTGGATGGATTTAGCCTCCAAATATCTAAATGATTGGGTTATATTTATATATATATGCTTTTAAAATTAAAGAATATAGAATCTCCATTACTTTTTAAAAAACCGTTTTTGCAATAATCTCGGGAACAAAATACCCTCAATTTTTTTCAGTATATTGTAAACCACTCAAAATTGAGAGGCATGTTCCCGAGATTATTGCATTACTATACTTATAAGGATATTTTCATAAGATAAATTGCGAAAAACATTGACCTCTCGCGCCGCCATTACAGGAGTATCCTTTTTCTAATTCCACTACTATACGGGTCTGTCACTTTTTATGAATGTGTCACATATTTAAAAAATGTCCACCACTCCATTTGTATTACCAAGAGGTAATGATCCAAAGAATATTGTGGATGTTTTGTGTTATATTATTAAAGTTACAAATCAAAAATAAAAAGGAAATTTTTTGATAAATTATTTATTTACTAAACAAGTATTTGGAATGTATAAGTATCTACCATATAATGTTTTTTTATTTTCTTTTTCATTTTTCTCAAAGAAAAAGAAAATTATAATAATATTTGTAAGATACAAGGACAATAAATCATTTTGTAAGTTCCATTAAATTTCCTGTAAGAACGTAATAGAATTAAGTCGCTTTTCATGTTAAGAAGTCAAGTATTCTCTTGAAATGTTGAATATGAAAATCAAGTTTGTGGAATTTGAATTTCTATCTTAGGAGGAAGTTTGGCGTATTCCATTCTAATAATTTTCTGAATTCTTCGTAAGGATAAATTAAAAATGAAGCCTAATTTGCCAATATTACTATCCATTGTGAAATTAACAACTGGCGGTTCTTCAAATTCAATAAATGTCGTTTCTCCATGAGTTACATTAACTTTGACACAAATATCAAAGTTTGAAAGTAAAAATCTGCATGGAATTATCATAGGAGCGGATGTGTAGATCATTCCCATCATTCTCATGCTCTGAGAATGATCTGATCTTGCACCTAGAGCGTTAACATTAAGATCACACTTAATTTCTATAACTGCGTTTCCTCTATATCTAAAAATCGCACTTATTTTTTGTTGTTTCAATGTTAATGATGAAATTCTTGTCAATGCGACAAAAGGAGGACTTGTTCCTAAATCCATTGAAACTAAACTGACTTTTGAGCGAAGCATTGGGTTTGCATCGATAGGAACTTTGGAAATAGCTTCACGTATCTTCTCTTGAACGAAAGGCTTCAATGCCTCCCAATCAAATTGTAGAGACATTGAATTATCAAAAAAATATTGTCACTTTTCAATAATTTTTATTTTTTTAATGTTAGAAGAAGCGGAAAATCTCAAAAGGAATGAAATTTTAGAACTATCTCACCAACTAGAAGATAAGGGTCATATTCAATCAGCAGTTAATCATAAAATTGATCGCCTAAAGAAAAATATTTCGAAACAATCAGATCAAAACAATAAGAAAAGCACAGAATTAGTTCACATCATTGAATCTATTCAAAATGATACAAATATTTTAAATCAAATCAATCAAGGAAATTTTGATAACTCCAACTATACTGAAAGTGAGGCCATCAACGATATGCAAGAGTTGATCATACAGTTGGAAGAAAAATTGAAACAGCAATTCGCTGAGAAACACTTAAATGATACGTAATTTTTAATCTCAACACTATATGGATATATTGTCATGTTATGAATACCAACAGTTATGAGGAAACTTCTCTGGCTTGCCTGTAAGAGTAATTAATGTAATTTGTTTAATAATTTAAGATTTTAAAGCACTAATAGAAAGAAACATTTTGTTTGTAATCACATTATTATATTTTGTTTATATATGTCGGAAACAAAAATAAAAATAAAAATTATATTTACATAGCGTATTCATTATCATCAATCAAATATTCTAGAGTTTCTTTTCCGTCGATGTCAACAATAGCTTCAAGGAATTCGAAAGGCAAAGGAAGAGATGAAAGATTTAAGTTGATTTTTGGAGGAGGAACGCCGTATTTAATACTGAATTGCATTCTTTCTGGCGGCGGTAAACACTTTAAGATTGCTTCCAATACTGATTTCGGAATGTTTGAATTTCGGTCAATTGTTGCAACAAATTCACTGAGTCTGCGTGGGCCGTTCTTCTTATCGGCAAGTATTTCGATAAGAGAGTCTGGTGGATTAACCATATCACGTCTGATTGCTTCTTGTAATTTATGTTCTGCGTCTGCTGGTTTGCATTCAAGAGAGTTGATTGTTGCTCTGTAAGCAATTCTTCCTGCAACAGCAAATGGCGGAGGAAAATGGTCAATTAATTCACAAAATATATCAGGAAGGTCGATCATGAAAACAGAAAGCTCAAAAAGGAATCTCTGTGTGTTTGTAACGCCAACCAAGTATCTGCGAATGATGTTATTAAAGTGATCACGGATCTTTGTTTCGGCAATAATAGGGCAATCAATAAAAATTGAGTTCCAAATAGAAATTCTGGATAAAGCTTTGATGTTCTCTTTGGATTGAATCTTTAATTCTTTAACAATGTGCTCTGCACTCTTCGCAATAGCTGACCTTCTCGTATCCATTTATTTTGAAAAAGTGACGAGTTTCAAATTATGTAAACATAAGTACATATCAACATAATATATATGGCATATTATCTTAGATAAAATGTAATGCTAGATGTCAAGAATCATTGGGTTTAATATCTCGTTCAGAACTTTTATAACTATGAAATTCACTTCAAATGAGAACAAAATATTGATTTTTTGAGAACAATAGAAATGATTTTGATATGTATTTTTGCTTCTTGATATTTAACTTCTAAAATTTATATCAATTTATGTATTTTTGTACCAAATGATTGGAATTTCGACATTTTTTTTATTATTTTTTTAAGTCAAAGTAGAACAAAAATGACCAGTACATAATGTATTTTCTGGAGTCTAAGCGCATTTGAATCATAAATAAACATATGCATGAAATGAAATCAAATCTCAAAAGTTATTATGTATTTTTAACAAAACTCAGCACATTTTACATTACTCATGAATATGCTATTTATTTAAGTATTGTTTAAGGTTCGATATGTTTAACCTTAAACCTTTAAAATTTTGTTTGTCCGATAAACCTTTTTGCGACATTTGATTTAATTAGACTTTTCCTGAATATTTTCTTGAATTTAAGAATTTGTCACTTTTTACGAATAATAAGCAAAATTTTATGTTCTTTTTCCTCTTTGAGCGTTATATTTATAGAGGAAACTGGACCGATATCAATCCAGATGCTTCAAACATTACTCAAAATGTGTCGAGCAAATTCAGATTACAACTAGAGTCAAATCAAAACATTAAAAATCGAAAAGCTTGGGAAGCAACTGTCTATTTGCATAGTGCAAATAGATTAGTTTTGGTTCGTGACTTCCATTTATATGGTATTTCAGCAAAGAACGACACAGATTTTTTTCTGATCACCTTTCCAAGGGCAACAGTACTAATTGACAAAGTAATTGCAATCATAAATGCTGCAGCATCAGAAAATAACGTTACAGATCCAGAAGATTTAGATGGAATCGCAAAAGCAGTTAATAAAAAGTACAATAGCTCACTTCCTTTGTTATCACTTGCAACATTACGATTTCACAATGTTGATGATTTCAATACCGGTCGTGTATTTGATCTAACTACAGGTGTTAACGGTACATTTGATTATGAGCGTCTTAATGTCAATTTTTCTGTTTCAATGATCAATTATCCTATGTTCATTAAAGAAGGCAAGAAGTTTGGTGTACTTGTTGGCTTCATTGTTGTTATTAATTTCATTGCATGGCGAAGTTTATACAGAAACTGTCATTCCTCAACATCACTGAATCATTTATCATTATGTAGTTACATCATGCATATCAGTTTTGACTTCTCATTCTCTCTTTTCTTTATTGATTTATCTATAGCAGCAATTGAGTTTGTTGTTCTATTTTCGTTCTTATTTTTATGTACTACTACGATCTTTACATGGAATATGGAGCTTATTGCCAATATTTGGCGTGCTCATAACCCGGATGCAGATGATTTGAATGCAGATGGTCTTAGATTGACATTTTTACATTTCTTTGTTGAAATATCCACTCTTATGTTCATGTACAGTTTTGCTACGTCAGTTGTATTTGATTTTCCTGTTTTTTCTTTAATTTTTATTTATTCTTTCTTTGTTCCACAGATTATTCATTCATGCCGCTCTCCAGGTCGAAAGAAAGGTGATGAAGTATTTAATCTTTTAGTTAGTATTCAAAGATTAGTCCCTTTTTGGTATTTGACACTTTACAAGGCAAATATTCATGAAACGAGGTCATATTTACTTGGATTTTCAATAACAGCTTATGTTTTTATTCAACTTTTGATTGTTTACTTACAAAACAAAATTGGAGGAGTTTTCTTTTTACCTGATAGATTCAAACCAAAGGAATTTGATTATTCATCAACAAAACCTCCACAAGGAAGTGAATGCGCAATCTGTATGTGCCCTATTTTGGATGACGAAGAATCTGTTGTCACTCCTTGTAATCACCCGTTCCATAAAGAATGTTTGACCAGATGGCTCGAAGAAGATATGGTTTGCCCTATTTGTAGAGCTTCTTTACCTCCTTTGTCATAATAATTTATTTTTGTTTCGCATGTAAACTTCTCAATTCTGTCAAAATTTTGAGAGTTAAATGCGAGTTTTATTGTTTATATATTAAAAAATCTGTCTTTCCTTTTTATTTTCGAATTACTGTAGTATTTACTCTTTATAAATGGAAATCAAGAAATATATTAGTACAATTTAATAGTCATATTAGTTCAAGCATTCAATAGTTACTTGTGAGAGAATCGAATTCAACACATATCCTAATGGAAAAATCACTATTCAATAGTCAGTTTTGATTATTTTTAGCACCATTCAATAGTCACTTTTCTGACACAAACCTCTCAAAATTTCTCTATAAAGTAAATGCTCTATCTGTATTTGAAAATATTCCATCACTCTTTACATCATATATATAATTACTTGTTGAATCAATCTCCAAATGGATCCCTTAGATGAATGTCTTCTGTAACATAATATATGATATTCGGGAAATATTTTATCATAATTCGTTGAACAGATGATGCAGTAAATGATGAGTTCCTCTTGCATATAATAGAAATGGAGTATAATTAATCATTCATATTATGAACCATAAGTGGGTTTTACTGGAAGACTTTAGAATCTTCATAAGTTAGATTTTGAAAATATGTAACGCAAATTCATCTTCCAAATCAGTTACTCTATACAAAAGTCTTACATACATAATAAGACTGGAAAATGAACTTTTTTACTAATATTCCGAAATAATGAGCACAATCTTAAATCGAATGAAAGACTTGATCCGACAAAGTGTGTAAAATACCTATTATCTATCCCAATATCTTCAAACCAAACATAACATGAAATTAACTGTGTAAGACGATAAGAAACGGCTTTTTAAATCGACTCAAAAAATGTGCAAAGAAGGTGATGATGTACAGTCAAACAACCAAAATCAGGAGCAACCAAAAGAATACAAAGGTCTTCCAGAACCAGGTAAAATAGGAATTATTCCAAAAGATTCTTTAATTCCACCAGTTCATGATACTAAAATCAGCAAGGTCCCTCCGAAAATTTCAAATCAAGCTACATTCGCAGATATCGACCTTTCATCAATTTCGGAAGCTTAAATAATAATTGTGTAAATAAAAAGAAAATATCAAAAAGAATTTTCATTGTAGTTTTTCATATACGATTCTACCATACCATTTCAATATGATATGAGCATATACTTTTAATTTTTTTTAGATATTATTTTTTTCAATATGAGTATTTTGAATCCCATTTTGTGGGAATCACTCTATAGAGAAAGACATATTCTGAATTTCCATTAACAAGTAAATTGGGCTATAATAAGATCTGATTTCATTCAAAAATCTTTAATTAGGAACATTTTGATGCAATTTTCATAATAATTATATTATGCTATTAATGAATATATATGGAATAAACGAAAATAGTTTCATAATTTTTTTTATGGCGGGAAGAATCATTGTTTATGCAAGTAGTCATGGTTGGGGTCATAACGCTCGACTCATTCCGATCATTGATCAACTATGGGAATATCCAATTGAAATAGTTTCAACTGCTCCTGAATGGTTTATAAAAACATCTCTCAAACATTGGAGAAAGAAAGAAGTAATCGTTAGGTCTATCAAAACAGATCCAGGTTGCACACAAATTGATCCGTTTACTATTAATGAAGAAGTTTCAATTAAAAATTGGATTGATAACTGGAATAATAAAGATTCACTTCTCGAAGAAGAAGTTGAATACCTCTTAAAAGGACCACCTGTACGCTTAATCATTTCAGATATTTCATATTTTGGTCAACTTGTTGCTGAAAAGCTTAAAGTCCCTTCAATATGTGTTGCTACATTCGATTGGGAGTTTGTATATCAAAATATAATGCCAAAGAACCCAGAATTGGCCTCTATTCTCAAAGAAGTTGATGAAATTAGCAAGAGATTTGATTATTGCTTGGTTCCAGGTACAATCTGCAAACCACTTCATATCGGAAAAGAGAGAATTACATTCCATTGGCTGTCAAGAAAACCAAAAATACCAAGTTCAGAAATGAGGCAAAAACTCAACCTAAATCTCTACATGGATTCTGTTTTACTCAGTTTTGGAGGTCATACACTCAATAAAATACCTCCACAAATTTGGTCTCAATACGGAAATATTCAATTCTACGTTCTCATGGATTCCAGCGAGGTAACTAAGGAACCTGCAGAAAATGTTCATTTCCTACCTAACCAAGAATGGTCAAAAATGCATAGCGATTTGATTAATACAGTTGATTGCGTTTTCGGAAAGGTTGGATATGGCTTATGTTCCGAAGTTATCAATTGCAAGAAGCCATTCTTGAATGTGGCAAGCAATTGGAACCCAGAATCGCAAGTTCTTGAAAAATTTATGAAAACAACTGTTCCTATTCATACAATAACCGAAGAACAGTTCCTAAATGGTGACTGGCAGGCTCTTATCAATCTGATTGAATCAGAGAGAGATCCAGACGTCTACATTGATGTTCCTGTTGATGGTGAAGTCCAAATCGCAGATTGGATAAGAAATAAACTTGGTGATAAGAAACCAAGTGAATTACAGTTGCCAATTTGGGTGTTTGGAATAATTCTTCTAATTATTACTTGGATATTACTCAAATTATTTAAAAGAAACTAAAAATAAAAATATAGAATAATTTAAATTCATCTCTAATTATTAGTAGTAGTGTGGCTGTTGTTTATATAATAACTTTTTACTTCTTCACCTTAGGAATATGGACATAAAGTTAAAATGGGGTAAGTGCATCCTTAAGGTATTTTTAATTTAAAAAAGATCCCCATACAAAAGCATTCGAAGAAGGAAATCTCTTATAGAGAATGGCAATTAATGAGTAAAATCTTTAGATATATCACACATTAAGGCATCATAGCTACGGTGTCTGATATTGCCTTAATTATTTTTGGATTTTTCAAATTGTGGGGAAAAAAATTGGCAAACCCAAATTTTAGCTAAAAGTGACAGGAAAAAAAACGTTTAGTATTAAAAAAAGACCGATGAGAGCTTCGTTCGAAATATAGAGGGAACTGAGAATGCGCAACCATTCTCAGGGAATATTGGATGCTATTCCCGTTCCATCTGTATGGAAAATTGAGGTTTTCAAAGGGAGTTAAAATAATATCAAATTTATACTAATTTACTTCAAAATACAAAAGTATTTGACAGCTAAAATTAGTTACTTTAGCAAGCCTATCAATACACTTTTACGATTATTGTTACTTTTTCGAAATAAAAGTAAAAACAAATTTATACTAATTTACTTCAAAATACAAAAGTATTTGACAGCTAAAATTAGTTACTTTAGCAAGCCTATCAATACACTTTTACGATTATTGTTACTTTTTCGAAATAAAAGTAAAAACAAATTTATACTAATTTACTTCAAAATACAAAAGTATTTGACAGCTAAAATTAGTTACTTTAGCAAGCCTATCAATACACTTTTACGATTATTGTTACTTTTTCGAAATAAAAGTAAAAACAAATTTATACTAATTTACTTCAAAATACAAAAGTATTTGACAGCTAAAATTAGTTACTTTAGCAAGCCTATCAATACCCTTTTACGATTATTGCTACTTTTTCGAAATAAAATAAATTTATTATCAAAAACTTTTTTTTTCTTAGTAAAAATAAACGAAATTTTTTACCTTATGAACTTTTGATGGAAATATGCAAATTTAAAATAATAAAGAAAGCCGCGAGCGAAGCGATCGGCTTAGTTCGAAGATTTTGATTCAAATCTTTGCTGATCTGTAATTCGCGGAAGCCGCGAGCGAATCGAGCGGCTTAGGTCTAAGATTTTGATTCAAATCTTTGCTTATATTCCTTAAATTCTTTATGAAACTCGCAACAGTTCCATAAAAAATTTTAAATTCTAAACTGTCGAAATTACCGATCGGTAATCACACCCTTCACGGGTGTGTCACTTTTAGCTAAAATTACCCCTACTCAAAAAAATTGAATTGTTGAAAAAAATATAATTGTGTATAAAATGAGTGTAGTAGAAATTGCTAGTTTTTTTTTTGGTTTTTTGGTCGCATAACAAAATCAAATGTTGTCTAATATTCGTGCGCAACCAATTATGAGTATCACATTTATGATACTTTTATTTGGAGGTAGCATAATGTTATCAAACTCAGACATTATTGATGATCTACAAGAAGATAATGAAGCGATTACAGATAAAATTATTACAAGTGCAATATTGCCAAGTTCACTTCCTGTACTAGCATTATCAGTTATAGCAATGTTTACAGTTATGCCACTCGAATTGATGATTGGCTCAGTGAAAACTTTAATTGGATTATCTGTTTCAATAATTGTTGATTTATCGATCCGTTTTATACTATGGGGATTCTGTGGATTCCACCTAAATGAGACAGGTCCTCTTTCAGCTTTATTTTACTTTTGCCTTCTTTACTTTTTAATGTTTCCAAATGTCAACTCATCCTTCATTCATGTTAAAGAGAAATACATTCTAGCATTAATTTTAGTAGCTTTATCCTTCTTAGGCCAATTAACATCTTTAATTGCTTTGGGAAGCAGTTTTCTCACATTTATTTTCATCGCACCATTAGTTCTTCCACAGCCAAACAAGGTTAAAGTAGAATAATTTCCGAAATTAGTCCAAAACTTACAAATCTTATTTGAACTACTTAATACAGTGTTTAATCACCTCTTTTACTATGTATGTTCTTTTGTTTTTTCATTTATTTATTAAATGTACCCCGATATGTTTCTTTTATTAATAAAAATTTGTTATAATTCATTTTATGATTTTAAGTAATTGTGCATGCTGAGTGACAAATTATAGGGATGCAAACTTGAGATAAATTCAAAATCAGCCAATTAGAACGGCTTTTCAGACAGAAAATCTGAAATCTTTTTATTTAAAAAAAGTAGCGACGGAAGGATTCGAACCCTCGTCTTCAGCTATGAATAGTAATGTATATGGACGGTTGAAGCCATCGATATCCATAGAAATATGTATGATATTATATAATATATATTTGGCATTTTTTGAATTCCTCTCAATTTATCTCACTTTTATGTGATAAGTGTTGCATAGCCTTACACTCGACACAATTCATCCAATGTTATTTAGAGTATATTTAGTTTGACCCATTATGATAAGTATTCGCCTGTTTGAGCTGATGAGGCCTGCTCTGACTTGGCCTGACTTGAGTGCCACTGAAGCAACTAAAAATGTGCAATCAATATCCTTGAATGAAGCTTCTGGATTTTTTTTTCCAAATTTTATTTATTTTTTTTTTCAACGAACCCAATTCAGGAATTACTTGATCTTACGAATAATTTAAGCAGTGTTTCTGGATACCTTCATGATCTAATCAAGAAAACACCAATATCTTGTATTCCAGTTCTTAATCAAAAACAAAAAACTGAATGTGACCAGTTTATCAAAACCAAACCAAAATCCATCGATATATTGAATAAAATAGGGTTAGAATTACTATATTATGATCGATTATTCGATGAAATTCCACAAAAATTATTGGAAACTCAGTTTTCTTCTGAGATTCAGATCTTAGTTTACTTTGTACAGTGCATGACTTTTTCATATGATTCGAATCATGTTAAAACATCTAGTGAATTAACTAAAATTTTGAAAAATACAAAACAAATTTCAGAAAAAATCAACAATCATCATAATATAATTGAATTCTGTTTCAAACATACTGTTAAATCATGCATTAATGATACCAAATTCAAGTTTTCTGAAGAAAATTGTTTAAATTTAATTGAAATTTTCGGAAATTTAGAATTATTATCAACAAAAATAACAAAAACATTCGAAAAATTTATTTCTATTGCAGAGAATACATCAGAAATCACTAAAAATGAACTATTTTCTTTATTTGATTATTTATCGACGAAAAAACGCAACTATTTCATGAATGTTAGTTTGGAAATCATTATAAATACTATTGTTAAAAGTATTGACACTACAAAACTACAAAATTATCAAAATTTGATTGAATTAATTTCATTTTTAATTTTTTCATTTAGTAATGACCAAACAACATCATATATTAACAATATTCTAGGATACATAGAAAAATACCAAGGTTTCCATGACAAATTAGTTGTTTTTCTTGAAATTTTTTCAAAATTAGATCAAATTTTAATGGAAAATATCAAAGAAAAAGATAAAATTGCAAAGAAAATGATTAGTTATATAAATGAAAACGCATTGGAATCATCTTATTATTACTTTGTCGTTTCAAAAATTTCAAATTTCAGAAATTTGTATTTTACATTAGAATCTGTTGAGAAATTGACTGAATTAAAGATTATTGATGATGTAATGCCTCTGTTGCTACTGAAAACAAAGGATTTTCCTGATTTTTTGGTGCCATTTTCTGTTTTAAAAATGAATTCAGATGAAATTATGACATTTCTTAATGAAATCAAGGAAATAGACCTGATATTATGCAATGATAACAATAACAAGCATGAGAAAACTGAAAAAATCTTTAATTTTATTTCAAATTTCGAAAATTTTCCAAAATTAATGAAAATAATAAATTTTTTATCCATAGGAAAATACACAAGGCAATTATCATATATACTACTTCAATTCGATACTCTTTTTGCAATAACTCCTGATTTACCAGTAGATTTCGTTAAAATTTTGTTGGATTCCATGTTTGACTTGTATTTTACACTTCCAATTGAGTCTGCACCGTTTGCAATCAGCATAATAGCCAAGATAATTGAAGTTTACAGGTCAGGTATAGTGATTTCTCTGAAAAAATCTTTTGATTTTATAAAAACACCAGAAAAACGAGATATTTCGATGTTGTTTGCTGCTAATTTTACTATAGAAATAATATCAAACCCGGGATTATCACCAGAGATCGCTGATTCGCTGCAATTCACCTTATTCAATAATATCTCAGAAATTTTGAAAGGAAATGACGTTTCTAACCACTTTTTGATAAGTTTGGCCGTGCTAATTAACTCTATTTTGGAGAAAATGAATGATTGTTTGGAAATAATGTTGGAAATTGCCGGGAAAATCGTTCAAAAACAGGTTGTTTTTGAGTATTTGTTATCTCATGGACTTATAAATAACTGGGGAATGGTAGATATATGGGAAATGCTTCAAAAATTCCAAAATTGTGAAAATCAATTTTTCAGATTTGAAGCAATTTCAGCTTTGACGCAATTCCAAAAGGATAATCTGTATCCTGATGCTAGTAAACGCGTATTTGATGGCTTACAATATGATTTAACCCTTAAAGAATTCGAAAATTCAGAAGAACTTCAATTTGAGATGAATTCAGCTCCAAATTTGGATACTTTATCAGTTAGAGGTTCATTGTTGAAGCTGATTAAGCAAAATGAAGGAGATTCAGAGTTTAATGAAGATAATTCTCTTAAAATCAATGGAATAGATCTAATTTATACAGATGATGAGAGCCATTCATTTGCATTATACATATTGGCCTATTTAGAGTACGAAATTGATGATTCTGACCAAGAATTTTTATTATCAACGATGAATCCAACATCTTTAGTAGTTTTAAACATGATTGATAAGGAGCTTGCCTTTGGTATAGCTATTTATCAGAAAACTGATGATAAATTGCTTAATTATGCATTGAATTTTATAAAACAAAATAATATTGTCGATAATTCTCATGATATTGAAGAATTGTTTAAAGAATTCGAAGACAAAATACCAAAAGATCAGATAGTCGTCGATACAGATGAAATTGATGAAATTTTATTGAAAATTATTTCGGAAATTCAAGAAAATCAGGATTTAGACATAGAATTTCTACAGAAAATCATGGGTGTATCATGTTATTTTATGCAGAAGTATGTAGAAGTTAATTGTTGCTCAAATTTGCTGCAAATTTTCTTAAATTCAGCAAAAAAGATGGAAATTGTTCCTTATCAACTGATTTCTGTATTGTTTAATTCAATATTTGAGGTAATTAACGAGAAATCATTGCTAGAAGAGAATGTTTACTATGAATTATGCGAAATTTGTTTGGATTCTAAGAGATTTGACATAAATCCTGTTATTTTCCAATTTATTTCGGCCATTCTAGCGATAATTAAATGTGGATACACATATTCATATGCTCCTTTCCTTTTAATTGCTTCAATTCTAAAGATTTGTCCAGAATTATCAGATATTGTTATAGAATTAGTATCAGATCGACTTCCTAAGATCGAAGATGATGATACTGGAATGATTTCTTGCTGGAGTATTATGTTTTCAGCTGCAATTATTGCATGCGACGGAGATTTCGCTTTTGTTCCAAATAAAGCATTGGATAAATGGATGTCTAATGTTCCTTTGCTTAAAAACAACTTTGTATTGAAGTTTGCTTCAAAAGCTTTGTCTGTTTTGGCTAAAGAGACAAATGAAAAAAAGTATCTCGATACTTTGGATAAAATACTTAATGTTACACCCGAAAATGATGAAGACTACTTCGATTATGAAAATTATGAATTTATTCTTAACGAATTATTAAAATAAATTTTATTTGTTTATTATTATTAAAAAAAATAATCTGCCTTCATTTTAGTGCTTATTTTTTCTTTGTGAACAAACTGAAATTGAAGAAATAGTAAAAATCAAATTCATCCAAAAAATACTGAATCACCAATGAAAGGCTGGGGAGGCCTTGTAAAGACTACACTACCAGAAGCCCTTAAGGGTGCACCCACCACGTATCTTGATGGAAATCCAGGAAACAATACTTGGTGGTTCAATTTTCCTGAAATATATAATGATAAAGGAGTCCCTGCTAGTGATCAAGTCAAAACTAAACAAGTTTGTCTTTGGAGCGCAATTAGAGAATCATATTGTGATTTTGCTAAATATTCATGCATTTACTCTTTATACAATTCTTTAACATTTGTATCAATGTCATACTTATTCATTTGTTCTTGAACTAAAATATTCCTTTATCTTAACCTAATTCACATGCTTTTGATCTCATCTCTTGAATAGATTTCAAGTACCTTGACGTTGAAGACATCAATCAGATTAGAAACCAAAAATTCAACAAAATTCATAATCGATATCTCAAATTTTCTTTTTCTCTGGTTGAAACAGACTTAACTATCGGAACTCCATAACTCATATGCTGTCATGAATGCATTTCTTCACTCAATTTCGTAATTCTCTTTGTAATTTTAAATCTAGAATTTTTAAACGTAAACTTTTGAAATTTTTTGTTTTTCGACTTTTAGATGCAATTTAACGATTCTTTAGATGAAATATCTAGTGTATTCGATGATGCTTCGCAATCAGAGATATTTTCTGATGACAGAAGATCTCAAAATCGTGCAAAATCTCGAATTCCTGTACCAACTAAGCAAAGACCACATTCAAAACCTCCAAGAGAAACAATACAAAAGAAACCAAAGCCAGTTGAAGTCGAATTGCAGTTAAATCCATCCAATTTTTTAGCTCCTGAATTTACAAATTATTTTAACGTTGTTGTGTGCTTCTACCAAGCAAAATACAACTTCCCTCCAAAACAACTATGCAGAAATACGTATTTATCACTTCAATTTACAAACGAAGAACAACAAATCGTAACAAGTAGTTATCATGGAACGACTTATGCTATATACAATGCAGGGTTTAAACTCCTTACTACAGGATTTGACCTTAAAAAGTGGATTCCTCAGATAATTGTATGGGAACTTGGAAATGATGGAAGTAGACAAACAATTGCCTTAGGATATCTAGATTTCAACGAAGCTACTATCGAAGGACCAATCTGCATTGTTATGAAAGACAAGTGGATTGATGTTTTTTCAGTAACAAATGGAGCAATGTGCGGAAAAATAAGAACTTCAATAATTTTCTACAATGACGAGAAAGATATAGAAAATAAACTAAGCCCACCTGTTGAACGCGTTTTTAGTGACTTAGAAGAGCTTGAAAGACAGAAAATTAAAGAAACCATGGTATCAGCAGAAATTCAAACAGAAAATTCCGTAAAGAAGTCAAACTATCAAAATACATTAAAGAAAGATCCATTTGAATTTACAATTAAAGTCAAAAACGAGTATAAAGAACCAAATGATTCTTATTCTCGACTTCAAAACGAGAGCCAGAACACTTCATCATCAAAAATTCATTTCTTAACCGAAGATTCCCTTCTTGAAGAGCCATCAGTTGCAGATTTGGAAATAGAAGTTTCAGATGATGAAAACAAACAAAATCAATCAATAGAAACGCAGAGTTCCGTTAAACAATCCCAATTATCAGATAAAAGTGCTATGGAATCAAGCTATATTTCTACTTTATTAAATGAATCTCAACTTTCAATGAACACAAATGATGACGAACCTCATGAGAGACCAAAGTTCAGATCTAGACGTGTTAAGAAGAATTTCAATCCAGAGGATGATCAATTAAAGAAAGCTGCAGATTATTCTTGGAAAAACTAAAATTTATTTTGTATATTATAATTTTATTAATAAAAATTTATCATGTAGTTAGTATCTTTCATACAAGACTCAACCAATTTCTTAATTTCGATATCAATCTTTTTTATTGAACCATTATTCAAATTTATCAGTTAGAAATTGATGAAACTACCTCTTTAACTTTAAAATTTTAAGTACAACACATGAGAATTTGAAATTTTTTTGAAGTTAGTTTTTAATGAAGATATATAAGAACAATGGTACCTGTATTCCTTATTTAACTAGATATTTTTCGTTAAATGAATTGAATTGTTATTTCAATAGACTTATTTCTCGAGAGAATGAAATGTCAGAGGTTATTTCAAAATTGATTCAAAATTGAATGTGAATTCACAGATTTATCAAAAAATCAAAACTGGCCATGTGAATTCATATTAGCGAAACACATAATATTGATACTGCAAACAATGATAGATAGAGCGAAGTATGAACAAACAATTTTGACAACTAATTCAAAATTTGGGAAGGATCAGAATTAATATTAAAAATTTTTGATTCATAAATTTTTCATTTTTGATGTCTGTATACAGAAGATTCTCACAGAAGGAAGATACAACATTACTCCGTCTTGTTAATAAGTTTGGTGACCAAGATTGGAAACTAATTGCAGAGAAAATGAACAGAACTCCAAGACAATGCAAAGATAGGTATAATAACTTTATATGTGACTCGTGACATGCTAATAAAAGATAATGCAGTTGTCAAATTATTATCTCAAGACCGCAAGAATATTCGCTACAATTACTGGAGCAAAAATCGAGTACTTCCTGAATTAGTATTTTATACCCAGTATTTCTGGATGTATGGACACAATATTCATGATTTTCTCTCGGCCATGATGTATGTACCAGAAGATCTGATGAAACGAGGTATTACAGTTGTTAGGACCAAATGTTGTGCCAAGATAATGAAGGAAATGATGAAATTCCTTGGATTAAATATAAAATTTGTCGAATTGAAATACGCTGAGCAAATATTTGTGAAGAAATTATGGATAGTTCATACAATGGAGCTCGCTCATGGCTATGCGAGTGGTGGACTCACTAGACTTCGAAAATTAATAATGCAAAAGGTTGATTTCAACAAAGTTAAGCCTACAAGGTTTGTTGTTGCAGATAGACCTCCAAAATCCGGCCGAAATTTTGAAGATCCGGATCTTATAGTCGAATATCTTAATAATTTTACAAAAATTGACGAAGGATGCCACTGGATACGCGATGATAAGTTTTTCCATGGCCATATAACTGATATCGTCAAATATTGGCAGAGTATTAGAGTAATTGTTACTCTCCAAGGTTCTGGCATTTACAATGCTATTTTTATGCATGAAAAATGCGGAATAAGTATCCTTTGTTCACAAAATCTTGATGAACCAAACTTGATGCTTTGTGCACATCTCCATATTTTCTTGATTGAAGTTGTCCATCCAGATAGAGATTTCAGGACAAATAAAAGACAATTCATCAACTACACTGCGATGATGAAATACACCCAAAGAGTTGTTGATGCTGTAAATGCAGGACATTGGACAAGTATGGAAGGAATTCAGGTTTCGTTGGAACCTTCTTATCCTGCAACAAACGCAGAAGAATTTGTTAGAAATTATAATTATGTATCATGAAAAAATAAAAATCTTATATTTGTTTGTATTCTTAAGAACATCTCGATTATTTTTATTTTTCTTTCATATGGAAATTCCTAAACAAAGGATAGTTTAAACAAATATAACTTCAATGGACCTTTCTTATCCTACAACTAAACACAAAAGCATTTGTTTGTATTCTTAGGAACATCTTGATTATTTTTATTTTTCTTTCATATGAAATATTCCTAAACAAAGGATAGTTTAAACAAATATCACTTCAAGTTGCATCAGACAAGTATACTTCATTAAAACTTTAATATCATACAACAAACGCAGAAGAATATGTTTGTATTCTTAAGAACATCTCCAATGATTATAACAAGGATGTAATCTTTCATGTGGTATAATTGCGAAAAGGATATTTTAGATCAACGACACTTCATGTTGCATCAGACAAATATACTTCATTAGAACTTTCTAATCCTACAACAAGCACAGAAGAATTTGTTATATATGGATCATGAGAATTAAAAATCTATATTTGTTTGTATTCTTAAGAACATCTCGAATATTTTTAGGATATGATAGAGTATATGATTTTAATAAGGATGTTTTCTTTCATGTGGATTATCTTCATAAAGGATAATTCAGACAAATATACTTCATTAGAACTTTCTATACTGCAACAAGCACAGAAGAATATGTTAGAAATTATTACTATGTTCCATGAAATTTTTCCTTACATCTTTCGAATTTAAAGGCAAAGGAAAAATAAGGAGAAACATCTCATCATATTGCATCAGACAAATATATTACAATAGAACATTCACATCATGCAACAAACTCAGAAAGTATTGTTTGCCTTCTTAAAAACATCTCAAATTTATATCTTCCTATGAATAACTTTAAGGGATATATGATGTTCTCTAAATAAATATAGTTTAAATACTATATACTCTCAAAGTCTGGTGTTTCAAATGCTAGTAGATAAAGATCTGAAGTCCTTTTTCAAAATCGACAAAAATAGTTGTATTCAATTTGTGAAATCAACATTTATCTTTGATAACTAATGCATTTGTATATATTTTAATATGTAAGATACATTAAATTTTGTTTTATTTTGTTTTTATATAAAAATGTGTGCGTTAGTAACTAAATTAGGTCCAATGATAGAAAAGAGTCTATCAAAGTTTTGCTTGGTTGAAGATCTCATATGGGATATCACCAAGGAGAAATATGAAGATAATTTGGCTGAATTAACAAAGATATTATCAGAAAAATCTTTTCATAAGTATATCTTGCAAACAATTCGATCTGCAAAAAAATACAGACCAGCGCAAAATGATATTTTACTACTTTTAACAAAAGCTTTGCAAAATCAAATTCCAATTTTTACTGAAATCCTTCAGGATTGGACAGAATTCGTTCCTGACGAAATAGAATCACATGCTATGACAGATGATGTTGGATATTTTGTACAAAATCGAAATTCAGAAAATGATAGAAAATCTTTTTTACTTTCGGCATTATATGGATCAATTAATACATTTTCGTTTTTCATGTCTAATGGAGCGGAATTTGATAATACAGTTATAAAAAATGCCGCAATTGGCGGAAATTTAGAAATCATTAAAATATTAATAGACAAAGATGTTCCCATAGTCGCTGCTATACAGAATTCAATTGCTTCTCATCAAAACAAAGTTTTAGATTTGATTTTCGAAAATCTCGAAATTGACATGAAAGTTTCAATATCTGATCTATTTAAGAGATCGAACATTCGCTCTATATCCCATTTGTTAGCCTACAGCCCGAATTTTTCAATTAATAATTTGAAATTAATTGAATTTGGAATTCAAATGGAATCTATACCTTTACTCAAGTTCTTCATCAATAAAATGAAATACAGTATACCAAATGACTTAGCAATTCACGGAAAAATCTACAAAACAATTTTCAAAGCGGAAGAACATCGAAAAGAAATGCTTTCTTATCTTATTTCGCAAGGTCTCAACGTCAAATTCATATTCGAAATAGAAGATACAGCTTACAACCCTTTGGCTCTGTCAATTATAAATAAAGATCAAGAAACAGGAATTTTTCTGATCGAGCAAGGCGCTAATTGTAATTTTGTGCTTGTTCTAAAAGGGAAGAGATATCCTATGATAACATTGGCCGCAAAATACCAATTATTTTCTTTAATTAATAAATTAATTCCAAATGTGGACATAAATTCACCATCTTATGTTTCATCGCCAAATAATATCAATCGTTACAAAAAGAATGCTTTAATTTACTCAATTAAATATTCAAATATTTCTTTTTGTAAAATGTTGTTAAAACATGGTGCAGATCCGAATTACAGCAAATTAGAGTATTCTCCACTATGTTATTGCTGCAAAGTTTCGAATTTTGAATTATTTAATTATTTGTTTAAATTTACCGGACTTTTCCCTGGAGATCTTGATGAGAATGGTAAAATAACACATTCACCACTCTCCATTTGCATTAAAAATGGAAATGTTGAAATGATAAAATTAATTCTTGATTTAGGCTATGATCCGAGCATTTCCATCGTAAATGAAGCTGATGAAAACGAAATTGATCATTTACAGTATGCAAAATTATTTGAAAACCAAGAAATTATAAATATAATTTCACAAAAAATGGAAATTGCAACAAAAAGAAATAGTTTCTTTAAAGATTCCAGAGAGGAATACTTTACACAGCATTCCATTTTTAAAGATGCAAATGAAAGTCAATTATTAGACGCTGTTCGCGCTGGATGCGTAGTACGCGTTAACATTAAAATTTTCCCTCGTAGCGATATAATTGAAGCCTTCAACAAATTGATGGATGCAGGAGTTATATTAGAACTTCATAATTTGGAATAAAATGTTTGTATTTTTGAATAATCTAAGGTCGATGAAAAATTGAGCGTTTTTAAAAAAACGCCGTTTGAGAGTAAAATTGAGAACCTCGATATATACTTTTTGTCACTGTCAAAAGCTTTGAAAGGACCAAAATTTTTTTAGTGTCAGAAAGTTTACAAATGTATACTTTCTGACGAACAGACTCTCAGAAAGTACTCAAACTGCGGTTTTTAATTTCCGCACTTAATTTTATATTTTGCACATTTAGCTTTGTGGATAATATAATTTTTCATGTTTGTGAGTTTTATTGTCAAAAATTGAATATCAATAAGCAATTTCTGCTAATTTTTTCTTATGAAATTTAATTATTATGAAAATTCTACATTCAATATAATAACAGCTCAAGTTATGAATAGATTCAGCCCAATTAACTGGAAAAGTCCAGATTCTGGAAAAATATTTCTATATTATTAATTGTTTTTTGAATTCCTAAGAACGAAGTTCTCATTAATATATCTAAAATTAGTATATAAATAAATTTATTGACAAATTAAAATTAACATCTACATTGTTGAAGAACTCCTTGTTTTTCGTTTGATTCGGGTGTGAAAACGCAGAATCTAAGACACATTTTTTCATTGATAGAAAGGGCAGCGCTTGAGTTCATTGTTCTACAATAATTTGAAGCAGAAAACACTGTAATAAAGCCACCTTTTTGGCCAAATGGGAAAGCAGTTCCTTCTGGACAGAATTCATGACTTCTCAAGATGATTGAAAAGTTATTTTTCTTCATAAACTTCTTTGCTTCTTCTCCGCCGAATATAAATGAAACACCACGTGGAGAAGGTCTGAATCCATCTGTCTCTGGTCCTGGATCTGACCATAATATATCAATAACAGGAGATGTGTCTGTGACTTCAGTTGGACGCTTAACATTCTTAATATCATCGAGAGAAGTGTTGGCATCTGGTATACCACCATGGACACAAAAGATCTGGTTTGCGATGATGGCACAAAATGGTAACGCATCAAACACTCTGAGTAATTTTGCGTATAAGGCAAAGTTGTATCTTCTAACTACTTCATCTCTGAATCCGTAAACTGTTGAAATTTCTTCTGTTTCGTGATTTCCTCGGATTAACCAGAATTTTTTAGGATAAACATACTTAAGAGTAAGCAAAAAGATAATATTTTCAACTGATTGAGATCCTCGATCAACGTAATCGCCTAGAAATAGATATTGCTTCTCTCCTGGCATTCCAAGATTATCAAATATTCTTAAAACATCGGTAAATTGACCGTGAGTATCACCGCATACGTTAATTGGAAGTTCTAAATTTATAATTGATGGTTCTTCCAGTAAAATCGGCTGAATTCTATTGCATAACTCGATTATATAAGATTCTGGTATGTACACAAACGGAAAATACTTGATCCTGTCATGTGAACCAAAAAATGTATTCAACATTTTAACAGGATCAAAATCTCCCCCTTCACTCATAAGAATTATTGTAAACTATTCAATTTTCATTTGGCGCCAAAATTTTTTGATCTCGAACTTCATGAATGATATCACCAGAATACATTTCTGTAAATCTGTTTCACCAGAAAACTCGATTTTTACTCCATAATATTGCCTGACCCACTGTGCATTATTCGCAGAAAATGGATCATCTATATGGATTTCAATAGAGTCATCTATAGTGAAACCAAAGATAATACTCCTCAGCTTTGAAATATAGAATTGAAATGTGTATGAAAAATTAACATCAAAAATTACAATCCTGCAATTTATTCATGTCCAAAAGGGAGTCTCGGTAATAATAAAACATAATATGTCTTTGTTCATGTTTAAAGTAGAATTGTAGTGTAAATGAAAAATTATCTTAATTTAAATAAATTCGGATCTGATTAAAAGGTAGTTCAGCAAATAATCAAACATAACAGCTCTATCTTTATTCAATATATAATGCAATAAGACAAAAAGAATATAAAATTAAAGTTTTGCACGTTTCTTTTGTAATTTAGCTTCAGACATAGCGGCTTTCCTAAGAACTAAGAATTGGTGCTGAGCAGCTTCTTTCTCCTTTTGTAATGCGATTTGTCTTCCAACAGAAACGTGTTGTTCATCATCATTTTCGTCGTGCTTGTCGAGTTTTCCAGAATTTCGTAGTTTCTGAATGAAAACATTTGGTTTTGGCTTATTAAATTTACCTGAGTTTCGATTTTTATTGCTATAGTCGTTTGAACGTTCATTATATTGATCTTCTCCCTGAAAATTGGTGATTTCTTCTGGATTTGTTAAAAAATTATGACATATCTGTTCCCATGTTTTTACTTGTACTTCTGGTTGAGATGTCTCTTCAACTGGAGGAGCAGGTCGACTACTTCTGAATGAGAATGATTTGCCATCATCGCTAAACAAAGCAAACATTTTTGGCTTTCGATCTTGATTGCCTTCTCCTGTCTCCATTATTATTGTTACAGGTGTGAATTGATTTGCAAAAATTTCAAAGAAGGCATTTTTGTCATATCGCCTATATATGGCAAGTATGATATGAAAAACACTATTCTTTTCAAAATTAGTCTAATTATTAATATAATTTAAATGGAAGTTGAAATCCTATAAAAAATGAAGGATGGATAGCAATATTTGAGCATACTTTCACTTAAAAATTATTTGTGGAAGTCTTCGCCTATAGATTTTAAAAAATAAAAAAATCATTCTATAATTCAAATATTTAACATTATATCTTCTAAAAATAAGAAGCTCTCTTATAGAAATATTACTATTTGATACGAATTTCATATCTTCCGCATTTTATTGTGTGCAAATATTAACAAAGTATAATAACTTGAATATATTTACTTAAAAAAAGACAAAATCAACACATTAATGCCTAATAACGGCAACATTTGGAGCTTCTTCGACGTAGAACTCATCATCACCTTCTTCAACTTCATTTTCTGAGTCATGAACGCCTCCAGTACCCCCTTCAACTTCCTGTACTAAGTTCATGAACTGAGCTCCATTGAATACATCCATAGCTTCAAGGTTAAGGTTGACAACACCGCGCATAAAAGCTTTTCTAAGACGTTGTTGCATTTCCAAGAAACTCTTTTGCTTGGATTCTAATTCTGCACGTGCTGCAGCAAGCTCTTCCTCAAGCTTTGTAATCTGGGCGTTGTATCTTTTGCTGGATTCTTTAGATTCTTTTTCGTAAATGTGTCTAGCTTCAAGTTCAAGTCTATCCTCTCTCCTTTTGTGCATCTTTCGAATCCAACGGCGGAAGAATACACGCTCTGTTGCCTTTTTAATGAAAATAGATTCAAAACGGCGGGTGAGTATAAGCTTTTCTGTGCCGTCTTCTATCCATGTATGAAATGCTCGTGATGAAATATTACTATTACGAACTTTGGTATGTAAAAGTGCACTCTTTTCAACTAACTTACGTAATATATTCTCTTTGCGTGTTAATTCAGCAGTATTATCTTGTGTGAGTGTTTGCATTTGTTCAAATTGTGTTTGGTAAGAATTCAATTCATCTGTAAGTTTTGCGATAATTGGTGAATAAACATCATTTTGTTCTTTGGCAACAACTTGATCATTATACGTAATGAATTTTTGAAGATCATCTCTTAAATTATCGAAGTTTGTCTGTATAATTTGATGGAGTGTTTCCTCCGCTTTATCACTCATCTTCGATATTTTAATTTCAAACGTCCAAAATCTCAAAAAAGTGACAATTTTCAGTCAATTCTATCGGCGCTCCGTGCCGATAGAATTAAGAAGTGTATATATAGAGGACAACACCCACACTTTTTACATTATGAATTTACAGTAAATTAGATAGTTTTATTTTAGATCACACAGCTCCATTTTTGATAAGGAGATTTCTCATTCTTTCAGATTTGGCTTGCTGAAGAGCAGTTTCATTCCAAACATTCTTTGCATTGATATCTATACCTTTTAATGTAAGAAGATACTGAACGACTTCATAATGATCATATTTTACTGCTATCATTAATGTTGTCCAATTGTCAACATTTGGAGAGTTTGGATCTATATTTGGCTGCGATGCAAAGAATTTAACAGCTTCTAGATTGCCTTCTCTACAGAATATATACAAAGCATTTCGTTTTGAGTCACCTAAGAATGAAGGATCATCTCCACATTGAACTAACATTTTTGCAAGATTTAAATTATTTTTAGAAGCTGCTTTTGTTAAAATTTTATTGCCATTGTAGTCTTGAATATCGTTATACCCATATTCAATAGCTTTCTTCATCGTTTCTAAGTCATTCTCGTTACTGCATTGATCAAGTTTCCATATATTTTTCTGAAATTATATTTCTTTTTTTCGATTTTTGTCAGTTCTTCTAAAATTTCATTTTTCTTTTCTTCAAACTCTTCTTTATGATCTTGTGCTTCTTCTATAGCTTGTGGCTCTTCTTCAACTTGTTCTGGTTCTGGAATGTTAAGTATGTATCTCATGTATTTTGATAGATTTGAAAAGAATTTGTTGTTTAAAATATTTGAATCGAGGAAAGGAATTCAATGACATTTATAAGTTCATTATCTAGATCTATAGTAACTTGTTCAAGTATATAGTAGATATTTATCTTGTCATACTACAAATTTGATATGTTTTGAAGCAAATTTAAAAATTGATTTAAGTTTAAAGTTGAATTATTCAAGTATTTAACAAGGTCATTGATCTGAACTTTATTCAAAAACGATTTGTCATTAATGAATTTATCTGAGAGAAGTTAATTGAAACTCCACTTTTCATTTTATGAAAAAGTGACAAAATATCAACTTTCCATATAAAAACCATAACATCATCAACATTATTTGAATAACTACAGACAGTTAACTAAATAAAGTAGATTCAATAGTATGTATTCAAGAAAAACATAAAATCTACCAGAAATTGAATGTTTATTATTAATTTTTTTAATTTAAGTATTATGCATAATGAAATTTTAAACAATCAACTGAAAATAGAAAATCTCATTTACACAAACATAGTTTTCATGATATAAATAATTGAAACTTATTTTCCTATATTCAATCTCCATAAATTACAATCCAACAGAAAATTGAGTTCTTCTTAGTTACAAGTTGTGTTAGCTAATGCTACTTTGTATATGCATTTCGAAACTAATACACAATAATTGTAAAATTATTGGAAGTTATCATATTGGATATTCATGAAATATTGGAAAACATAGATTACAAAATCCAAAAATAATGATCATTTGTTGTTAACATACAAAACATAAATTGCAATTTTTTATTCAACAAGAAATTATTTCCTTTGATTCATAGCAAAGCTATTAGAGACAACCTTAACAGGATCAACACGAACTGAGCTAATTTGATGAAGAATTGATGCCAATTTTTCAGCATTTTCTTTACATTCATCAATCTTTGATTCTGAAACCCTCATCTGTTTATCAAGATAGTCTTGTTGTATAATAATACTTTTACATACATCTAAGTTAAGTATTGGACTTTCTATCTGATCTGGAATATATTTTTCGGAAAACTGTCCTGAATGAAAATCATCCTGATTCTTATACGACATCCATTTATCATTTTCATTTTGAAGTGCTTGAAGTGAATTTTTGGCTTCTTCAATTTGATTTTGAGAATATACTTCAACTTGATTTTCCATTTCCTTCTTTAATCGCTTAACTTTTCTTCTATTATATAAATCAAGCTTTTGGCAGAAAGAATAATATATATTTGTCTGATCATTTGCAATTGAATCTATATTTTTTGAGAATTTCGAAAGTATAGTGATTGCAGCAGATTTTTCTATTTGGCCTTCCTTGGAAACTTGATCTGGTATTAACATATTATAATTTTCGCTTATTTCTGACTTTATTGGAGATTTTTCGAAATTTGGTATTGATGGTGTGGTTTCAGGTACTTCAACCTTCTTTGGTGTTGGTCTTATCGATTTTGATAAAGATGGCGATTCAATTGAACTTTTAAATTGTTCAGGAGTAACAGTTGGTCTTCGAGATGGACGTCTGCAGCTAAAATCTCCATATTTACGACGTTCTGTTGAAGGTGGATTTTCTACAAATAAATTTTGTGTTTTAGATTTTGTTGGAGTTGAAAAACTATTACTCCCTGTTTTAGATGTATTGTTCTCTTCTGTTGTAATGGAAGAATGAGCAAACTTCCTATATATATTTCGCAGAAAATCCATTTTGCAAATTAATAAACGTTCACTTTTTTATCAAATCATCGAAAAATTGAACAATCAAGAAATATTACACAAATAAATTATTTATATTAAATCATCATTGTAATTATATGCAACTGGGAGCTTTGTCTGCAAATATAAAGCAGATTCATTAGACATCAATGATACTCAAGGATTTTACTATAAGCGTATCTATTAACACATATTTAGTAGATATTCATATTGATTCATATTGAAACTTTTAGTTAGTTATACAAGGACTTATTCAAACATTTACAAACAAATTAATCGAAGTGCAAGCATATAACTTCCCAAAAGGTGCATTAAATCATCTTCTAGAACATGTTCGTATTTAAATGCAATGCCATAACATTCTTAGCATGAATGTTTAAGTTGATCATTATTCTTAGTAATTGTAAGGTATATTATAAATCAAATCCGAGTATGTGAAATTACTATATTCATCTGGAAAGCCTGAAATGCCAACAATATCAGAATCAGATCCGATAAAAATATTTCCAATAAAGCATTGATATTGACCTGGCTTTATTCGGAAAATTGGAAACGATTCACTGTTATCAATTGAGTAATTATAGGTATTTGATTGATTGCAACCTTCTAATTTGCCGGTATAATCGATTATAAGTTCGGGTCTATCCCACATATTATCCCTAGCCTTCTTATTTGTTAGTCTAAATGCAACAATGTTGCTAAGCATTCTTGAAAAATATAAATAATTTTAACCGAAGTAGTAGGGTATGATGGGTTATGTGACTTTTTTTGTAAACGTAAGAATTCATACAATATTGAACGATTTTGTATCATTATTTTTAACATTAATTTTAAAATAATTTATTTTTTTTATTCTTACATAAATGACCCAACAAGTAAAACCAGATAAAATAGATTATCGAATTTTAGAGGATGGTGTTCCTGTTTATATTCAAAGATTTAAAGGGAAGCAATATTATAGAATTCTTAATCCTGAATACATAAAACATTTATTTATCACTTAAAAGAATATGACCGATATCATAATTTGATATATGAAACTAATATAATATTTGAAGATAACAAACTTACAAGCTTCGAACATGAAAATGATATAATATTCGAAGATGAAAAAAAGAAAGAGATTGAAAAGCAATTCAATGAATGCCTTTTAAATACATATGCGCACATTATAAGACATAAAATGAAATTAATTCCTTATTAATCAAAAATATTTTTTTATCTTTATATAAAGATGACAAATAGAAAATTTTTCATCTTTGATATCTATTATTGCCCAAACGTGTATGGACTACATGTAGAACTTAAAATAAAGGAAAGGGATACATATGAAGAATATATAAAATTTTGTAGAAAAAACGATTATATACCGGAGTCAAAGAATATATTCTTGCAAAATATAAAACCTATTATAAAGGTCGGAAAGATTAAATTTCCGTGCATAGTAGAAATATACTTAGATGATGTATGTGACGAATTTCACAGACTAAATGAAAAAAAGACTTTATATAAAGATTTTGTTAAATTTCTTATTGAAAATTATTTGAAGCCTGAACATGTGATTCCAAAATATCACCGATGATATTTTAAAAAATAAAATAAATTATATTTTTTAAATAAAAAAATAATTTTTATCTGATAGAAATAATACCTACAAATGACGGTATATAAAAAATTGACTTCTTACGTAAAATTAAAACTAAGTTAAATTTATTTTTTTTATTTTTATTTTATAATAAATGAGTATAACAACTAATTCATTGAAATCTTTAAAGTTCACTAATTCAGAATTAGAAAATATTTTAGAAAATTTTGGAGACGGTTCTTATCCAACATATATGCAGAATGTGAAAGAGTTTTCCAGATTGTTGAATGAATTTAAATATAACGGGCCAATTACTAAAAAGGCTATAATGAGATATTTATATCCCAAAAAAATTGAAAAACAGGAGAATATTCCTCTTTATGGTCCAGAGGACCTGGGCTCAGAGAGCCTTGAAACACCTCCTGAATATTTTGAAGAAAAAATTAAACAAGATGAATATTATAACGATGAGATTGAGAAATTGGAACAATTAAGAAATGAAATAGATGAAAGAATTAGTGAATTGAGAAATGCTGAGAATGAAGTAGAGGGTTTAATGAATATCCCAGCTTCAGAATCAGAAGTTCAAAAATCACATGAGGAAAGATATAAAAATTACTTTTTGGAATCTACTAAAAATTTATTAGATGGTGATATTGACGAAACACTTTCAGAAGAAGGCACAAAATTTATTCATAAACATAAGCTTCAGTTTATTGACGATGGAGATTATCCATGTATATTACTTTCACCTCCTCTTGATTCTGAAAAATTCAAAAAAGCACTGAAAAATGTAACATATGCAACAAATACGATTAAGAAAGAAGACCATGATATTTACACAAATTATTATTTAAATAAATGTACAGGTGTTGATAAAGTTTTTGATTTGTTAGATAAAATATCAAAAGAAACAATTGGTACATATAAAATTTTATGCGATTGTGGTTTCATTATTGAAGATACCAATAATGTTTCATATGAAAGAACAGCACCGAAGGAAGACGAAGTGGAAAGGTCTATACCATTCGTTATTAAGAACATAAAAGATATGAAAACTTATAAACATTATATTTATTCATTTATTTCAGAAAAAATGGAAGCAACCCATAAAACATCATCTCATCATTTTATAGCTATTCATACATTCCTTTTCAAAGTTGTGAAATTAAATAAGACAGGAATTAGATTTAATGTATCAGGGTACGCATTCTTGAGTAAATTAAAATGTATTCGTCACGTCGCAGATGATAAAAATTTATGTGTTCTTAATTCATTTTATGGACTTTAGCCCTGGACTCTCTGAGTCTCGGACTTTAAAAAAAATAAACTTTATTTTTATTTATTTTTTAATTTTTATTCTTACATAAATGAACAAAAATGGAACAGCTAAAATGAATGATAATCAAATAAGAGCCGAAGGTAGAAGGTTATTTAAACGCTTCTATAACATTCCTGATGGTGTTAATCCTAAAACTCGTAGAAGTTATTTAAATGAAGCCATAGATGCATATGAAGGATTTGACATTTCATCAGAAAGTGAGAGGTTAGCAAGAATGTTAAACGTTAATATTGATTTTTATTATTGTGACCCTCAACCAGAAGACGTAGACATTAACAAGGTAGACTTTCCATTAGTGGAATCAATAATGATAGATCCAGAATTTGAAACAGTAAATATTTTATTAACACAGAGTCCATGTGGAAAACTTCACGCTGACAGAATTACAGACGTTGAAGCACTCACAGGATATAAAGTTTGCCCCTTTTGCAAAGAAGAAGTATATTCTATCCGTGATGATCCAGAAAGGAAAAACCAAAGAAGATTTTTAAAACATTGTGAGAAATGTAAAGAAAATAATGGAAGATTAATTCAAGACGTTCAATTGCAAAACACACAACAACCATATACACCACATATTACGAAACAGAAGATATATCAGTGGTTATTAGCTCACAATTTGCAGGAATATTATCAACCGACAAGATATTATATTACTTTTGACTTCGAAACATTAGAGACTAAAGAAGAATTACAACTTTCTGAGTGTGCAACTTTGAACGCTTACTTAAAACCATTCATGGTATCATCAACGGTTAAATTAAAGCCGCAAAGCGGCGAGGTCGTAGACCGTGATAAAACATATACGAGGAATTTTTGCTTAACTTCAAGTGATTCTTTTATTTCTGATTGGATTGAGTTTTTATTTTCAACCTGTTCATTAGTTGCTAAATCAAATATTGAACAATATGAAGAATTAATGAAGTCGCAAACGGACCAAACGGCGGGGACTTTGTCCCATACATTAAATGAAAAACAGAAGGAAGCATTTAAAGAACTTCTAGATGAGGAATTCAATAAAGTGAATATCATAGGTTTTAATTCGGGAAAGTTTGATTTAAATTTAATTCTTCGTGATTTAAACACTGCAAAATGGAAAATAAAATCAATGCTGGGTTCATCTTCACAATTTAAGCAAATTATTGTAAAGAAAACAAACGTTCCATATGAATTGAGATTTATTGACATCAGAAATTATATAGCGGGTGGGACATTAGACCAATTCACTCAAGATTTCGGAAACAATAAATCACGTGTTAAATCCTTTTTCCCTTATCAATTCATCACATGGGAGAATTACGAAGAAGAATTATATAAAGTGGAACCATTCACTCAAGATTCATTTTATTCAGCATTAACCCAAGAAACTATATCAGATAGTGATTATCAAATATATCTCAATGATGCTAAAAATTTTAAGAATAGATTAGAATATTTTATTCATTATTGCAATAAAGATGTTGAAATTATGATTGACCCAATTGATAAAATTATTGAAGAAACATTTGTTTATAAAATTGACATGCTTCATAATCTTTCTTTATCATCGAATGCTTCAATGATTCGTTACGCTTTAGCATATAAAGACTTTAATCCTAATGAAAAATATCCTGAGGAAGAGATAGAATCAAGTTTTGAATTAACGAAAAAGTATTGGAAATATAAAATTGAATCATATAAGAAACAAGATGAAAAAGCAGAAAGGGATACTAAAAATAATGTTTCAATGGATGATTTTCAATACTATCACGATTTAATCCTTTCATCTAAATGCAAAATGTGTGGTAAAGCGTTTACATATGCAAATAAACCAACATTAGATAGAATCGATAATGAAAAACCACATACCAAAGAAAATTGTCAGTTAATGTGTTGTTATTGCAATGTCGTAAAATCAAATAAAGATGAAGATGTTCAACGTTTAAGAATCAATTTAAGAAATTATGCATTAAAAAATAATTTACCAATGACTTTAGATTCAGTTGAAGCTTATCACATTCTCCGTAATGGAATTACTGGTGGTTTATCAAATGTTCAACATCGTGTTAATCTTAAAGGAATCAC